GCCCCTGGAATATAGGGGTGCCACTCAATGGTGAGTGATAGGCACTATAAGCTGTTGAAGAATTCAGCCTGTGGGAATACCCCAGGCCATTTAGATTATCGAGTTGTAGGCTGATGATATACAAATCATCAAGACTCCGGGCGAGCAAGCAAGAGGGAAATGGCAAAAAATCAATAATCTAACATGCAACATTGATTTCAGAAAAGTTGTACCGGAACGGTTCAATCATAGATGTGAGCATAAGTACAAATATCAGGTTTAAGAGTTGCCGAGGTTGATGATACATAAGTCATCAACACCCCGGGCGAGAAGGAGATGGTGTGTGATAGGCAGAAACAACCAATGCGTATGACTCTAAAAGGTAGGCATCGTGATGAGAACGATTGACAGAAAAGTTTTCTCAAGGACAAAAAGGTGTTCTGGTTGTTGCGAACGTGCTGTGGTGTAGCTTCAGTCATCGTCCACGTCTCTTCTTCGTCGTCAAAATTGCCCTCGTAGATTTTGCATCAGCAGAATGGTTGACGGTGATTATCTCCTTGGCAGCCGGCTTCTCGTGGTGCGTTATGCTTGATCTTTGGCATGTCCATCATCCTCGTTGCTTGCATCGTCGGATGAAGTGTTGTAGCAAAAGTTCCATTCGCACTCCTCCCTAATATCAGCGAATTTTGGCAAGCAACCTTGTCTCTCAACTTCAGCTTCGCTGTTCAGAGCAGCTGTCCGAGTTATTCTCTTTTTCGGTAAACTTCCTCTTTAGTGAGTTTGCCGCAGCATACGTTGAGACGATTCTTTCTCCTGTTGATTCCACGTATACTGCTTTCATTGAAATTGGTGCGCTTCTCCTTTATTGTTAGCCACTCGGTGTGTTGTTGAGATTGATGGACGGATTTGGAGGTTTCCTGCATTGTTGATGTACAGCCAAAAGTGCCAATGAAGTCCTGCGCACATTAGTACGGCTAACTCCAGATATAACCTGCTCGAGATATCCTTTCTCCTCTTCCCATTTCGGCTGTCAGTACTTTGTCCTGACGGTTGCTTGTTTGGAGGGTGCTTGGAAGAAGTGTCTCCATTGTTAGCGCGGTCGTTTCCTGCAGCGAAATGATGTTGTCGATTGTATCGAGAATATCCGAAATATCAAAGTGATTGCCACGTAATGCGTTTGCTCCATGAATTCGTTCGATCTCATTGATCATGTTGGCAGAGCGCAAAGTGCTTTTTCAAGATGTTCACGGCTGTCACATACTTATCTCCTACAACAGGGATGCAGTTCAGAGCTGCAGCTGCTTTTCCTTTGA